TTGTGGGTAAGCCCGTGCCTGGGTCGTGTCCGAGTGTGTCGACCACACGCCAGTGCGTGTTGCGCACACACCTGGTCTTAGGCATCATCACCACCTCGTGTCGAGCCTAGGACGTTACCCGCGGGTGAAGAATGGGCAAGTGGCCGTGAGCTGTCCAGCTGCTTCACCTGCTTGGGACGCGCCTATTTAAGGGTCGGCCCGACCTAGTAAGCAGGGGACACGAGAAGTTCTGCATTGTCCGAACGTAACTTCTTTTCACCGCAAATTTTCATTGCAAACGTTAGCCTAGTTCGTGATCGTCCCATCCGATCAGTCCATCCGAACCGAGTAGTCCATTTTCTAGTCCACCGCGAACCATAGAGTAGTTTCGCCGCGAGCCTTGTCGAGCAGGTTTGGGAAAACTTAGGGTAAGTTTCCCGTGATCGAACTTTACCATTTTCAAAGTGATTTTTCGTGCTGATCATGAATCTAATCTCAGTTTCTTGATCCGATGGCTCGACCTATCTTAAATTCGTAGGTTCAACTTCGGCTAAGGTCCAAAAGATCTAGAGATAGTCCACGGCAAGCTCAGTTCCAAGTTAGGTAAGATCCGTGGGCTTTACCATCAAATTTCCCTTAAGAAAACTCTAAGTCTTGTCTTGGTTAATTCGTGAACCTTTGGAACAGATTCCAGTTTAAAGTCTAAGGCAAACGCCCGTAGAAACCTTTGGCAGAACCGCAATCATTCGTTAAGTCAAAGGTGAGTCTCGGTGATGCTTGTTGTATGTTTAATTAAATTACAAGTGAGGTTTGTTGCTGCGTGATTTATATTTTTGCTAAGTACTTAAAAGCCTTGGCATGTGAAAATTACTAAGTTGAATTGTTGATGCAAAGTTATAAGTTTTCTTATAACTTAATTGTCAGTAAAACTTATAAATTATGATGATCGCGGTAAGACGTTCCCTTGAAAGCCGTGACTTAGCTAGTACGTTGAGTATTAGTCTAAGTACATGAAGACACGGAGAGACGGGATTGCAGCCTTTGGCCGTGTACTGCATGACGATGCAGAATTTCCGGTGCGGATCCTTATATACATAAGGCCATTGGAACGGTGAAGGATCTTAAGTCTTTAGCCTTTGTGGCTTCGGGCTGATGGATACCTTGTGATTTGACGTGGAGGGAAATAGTCTACGCGAAAGGCCTTATATTGACATTGCATAACTTATCGCATTTTTTTTTATTTGTTGCTTGCGTGTTGATTGTTATTTTGGGTTTGGTTGGGAATTGATTATTGAATGTTAGGGGAGCCTAGACTCACTGAGCAACTAGTGCTCACGACTCTACTTGTGTTGCAGGTAACCATTAGCGGGTAGACCACCGGGGGCCAAATGAACGTTAGGAAATTCAGTAGTAGATTTTCTTGCCTTTTGTAAATGAATAATGTTTATTATGTACATGATCGTTTTGGAGTGTTAGACTCACAATTGTATATGTTTGTATCACGTTTAAAACTTATGTATAAATTATATATAAAAAAAATCGAGTTTGCATAAATTCGGGTTTCATGTGATACTAGTCCTTGTCCGGACGAACTAACCATTGCGTATGTCTCGGGTTGGCAAGCCTTGAGATGTATCTAATGGGGACGAACGATTAGAAGTCTTGTCTAAGGAATTTGGATATGTTCTTGGAACCTCTGACCGGACATCTAAGTATTCGTCAGTAGCGTTTCCGGTCTATAAATGATCGGAAGCGTTACAGGTAGGCATTAGATCGTAGTCAGTGCCAGCCCTATTTTCTAAGTAGCAGTTAACTTTAAAATATATTTATCCTTAGGTAGAATCGAACCAATGACCTGCGACATTTAGTGGAAGGGACATGCACTAGTGGAGCTGATGCGGATTTTGACAAAAGTATTGGCCCCTAAATTTAATAAAGTCTTCGCCAGCCCTAAGCACATGTTTCCCCAACTTCCAATCACGGCCGGCTCTGATCATAGTCGTGATGCCTTTACTCCATCGGAGTGTCTGTATTTTGGCTGAGCTTCGATGCATGATATGGGCCCTTAAATCTTTTTGTGATTTGCGTATTTGAAAGGATGAAGTGGTAACAAATTGTGTCTCGGTAGTGGATGACGTTCTAAATCCTCTTGATTGGCTGAGATATCAGAATTTAGTGGATAAAATTATATCTATTATGTTAGATTTTGAACGGTGTCAAGTTTATGCTATAGTTGTCTTGGTTAATTTTAGAGAAATTGGATTCTATATTACTCATTGACTCCATATTAAATTATCTAATATCAAATAAAATAAAATTTAGTAACTAACATTTCAATTACGTGAGATTACAATTTTACTAGTTATGGTAAGTAATCTCATTTTTATTATTATCTCATTTAATACATTTTTTTGTTTCATATCAATTTTCTTTTCTCTCATGTCCAAAAATTATTAAAGATAAATAATATAATTAACTAACTATTTTTAAATATAATTACTTATATACATTTATGTGTAGTTAACTATATATCCACATATAATTATTTATAGAATTAATTATGTTCACAAATAGTCAACTATACTAGTTATATTCACGAATTATTCACTATTATCTCGATAGTTAGAAATATAAATAACTATATTTAAATATAGTTAATATATTCACGTATAGTTAGCTATATATAAACATATAGTTGTCTATATAGTTAACATTATTTACAAACAATCAACTATATTTGTTATATCTACAAATAGTTTATTATTCTATATATAGTTAAATATATTCACAAATAGTTTACTATTATGCATTTTCAATGTATGAAACTTATAATTCATTATATCAAATAAGTAGTTAATTATATTAAAATAAATTTCACTATTTTTATATAGTTCATTATTTATGTGAAATAGTTCACTATTTATTTCAATGATATCTAACTTTTGATATAGTTCACTATATAATTTATATACTCAAACTTTTAAATAATAATCAGTTACAAAAAAGAAAAACGAAAATATAGAAAAAGAAGACGGAAAATAAATGTATTTTTATATATGTCAATTTTAAGTTTATTTTTAGAAAAAAACTATTATCCTCTATATATTAATAGATGAGACATTAGGTGAAAATCTTAGGTGTCATCCTAAGAGGGTTTTAATGAACATGTTATTTAAATTAACTAATGAAAATATTTCAATTAAAACTATGTGCCATATGAAAATCTTTACATATTCTCATTAATTTTATAATATAAGCCTAGTTTTACAAATCTAAATTTAACTAAATATAATATTTAGCTTACCAATCATCTATTTTTCATTTTATTTATATATTAAAAATCTTTTTATTATTATATTTCTAACAATATTATTTATTGTGGATGTATGTATTTAAAAATTTATATTAATATGATATATACAAATATTTTAATTATGATATTCTATTTTATATAGAGGATAACTAGGCTTACAAATATTCACATTCCATTATTGGAAAACATATGTTGTTTTTAGTTCGTCATGTCTGACAAATTCGTATAACTTTAAAATTTATCTGATTTATCACATGCCTTATAATTTACACGAATAATAAAAATTAATTTTATACTTAAAATATATTGAAATAAATAACATTTTCATATGTTTTGATTAATTTTGCAGATAAAAATATTAAACCTAATCTTGAATTTTGTAGCCTAACAAAATTTAACTTTATTACATTTATCCATAATACATACGCTTTTTATAAGTTTATAAATATTAGAAATTATTAATTTGTCATACACATTTAAATATTAAAACTGACTAAAAACATATTTAATTATTTAATTTCACGCTTGGGTCAAAATCTAGTTATTTTTTAATTAAGAGAGAAATTTGCATTAAATGTGCATTAAGATGACAACTTTAATTGAATTTATTGCAAGGATAAATTAGTCAAAATTTATTTTGTCTTTGCTAGACACTAAATTAACAAATTACACATGTTAGTTTATTAATTTATATGTTCAAACATGTTATTGAACTAATTAACCCTTAATTTTATTGCTCGTTCAATCAAAAATTGGGCGGTTTCGTTCTTAATTAATATTTTGGACGACCGACGTAATTTCACAATCAGATGTTAAAAAAATCTAAATGTTGGATATTTTTTTTTTATCAGTTTCTCTGGTTTTTATTGTATTTTTTTTCTTGAACTTTTGTTACAAAAATTGGAAGAAAAAAATCGATAATCATACTTAACAAAATGGAAATTTGATCAATACTGATTTTATTTCTATTTTATAGTAAGTCAAACTGACGTATATTGACAATATAATAGAACTATACATAAATAATTATTTAGGGTATTTTTAGTTACAATATCTAAACTCTAAAGTAATTACAAAATGGGGATAAACTATCTCAAAATATATTATAGTTTTAACAAGTTATCTCATTTTTAAGGTATCAAATTCTTTGATAGAACAGTTCTCAAGTTCTTCAGTACAGTTTTTAAGGTATCCAAAGTCCAAAGGGTTTAAGGTATACATCTCCTGCAAAAGATATAATTAACCTGCCTCACATGATTAGGCTGCCCGCTGCCATTATAAACCGAACTCTTCCCACATTTTCCAGAATTGCCAAATAATGTTTTTTCTAGTCATAGTTTAATAAAAAACATTAATTTATATATATTGGTTAGTTGATTTTAGTGGTTTCTATAATGAGAATTTTTTTTTTTTTTGATTATTTATTAACAAGAATATATATATAGTCAAACGAAGGTTCTTTCTATTTAATATTTTTCCATATTAACTCATGAACAATAAACAAGATGATTGGAATAAGAAACGGTAGCAAATTAAACGCACCAATCAAAATCATTAATATGGAAATATATCATATTGCCATTAATCTGTTAAAAATTAGAGAAACAAACTTAAAGGACTTTGATTGCGTTCTTAGACCCTGTCAAGAGCTCTCCCTATAAATTATAATCGTTTCACTCTCACAATACAATTAAATCAACAAAGAAAAATGGCAAAACCTGTTGGCTCCTATTGTCTCCTCTCATGTCTCTTTGTCTTGCTTGTGAGTTTTGCCTCAGCAGCCAAATATGATCAAGACAAACAGGTAACTGCGCTAATCCTCCTTTGTTAATCATCTCTTGGTT